TGTCCTGAGCATTGGATGCAGTGCCCTTGTTGTGTCCTGAGCATTGGATGCAGTGCCCTTGTTGTGTCCTGAGCATTGGATGCAATGCCCGTGTTGTGTCCTGAGCATTGGATGCAGTGCCCTTGTTATGTCCTGAGCATTGGATGCAGTGCCCGTGTTGTGTCCTGAGCATTGGATGCAGTGCCCTTGTTGTGTCCTGAGCATTGGATGCAGTGCCCTTGTTGTGTCCTGAGCATTGGATGCAGTGCCCTTGTTGTGTCCTGAGCATTGGATGCAGTGCCCTTGTTGTGTCCTGAGCATTGGATGCAGTGCCCTTGTTGTGTCCTGAGCATTGGATGCAGTGCCCTTGTTGTGTCCTGAGCATTGGATGCAGTGCCCTTGTTGTGTCCTGAGCATTGGATGCAGTGCCCTTGTTGTGTCCTGAGCATTGGATGCAGTGCCCTTGTTGTGTCCTGAGCATTGGATGCAGTGCCCTTGTTGTGTCCTGAGCATTGGATGCAGTGCCCTTGTTGTGTCCTGAGCATTGGATGCAGTGCCCTTGTTGTGTCCTGAGCATTGGATGCAGTGCCCTTGTTGTGTCCTGAGCATTGGATGCAGTGCCCTTGTTGTGTCCTGAGCATTGGATGCAGTGCCCTTGTTGTGTCCTGAGCATTGGATGCAGTGCCCTTGTTGTGTCCTGAGCATTGGATGCAGTGCCCTTGTTGTGTCCTGAGCATTGGATGCAGTGCCCTTGTTGTGTCCTGAGCATTGGATGCAGTGCCCTTGTTGTGTCCTGAGCATTGGATGCAGTGCCCTTGTTGTGTCCTGAGCATTGGATGCAGTGCCCTTGTTGTGTCCTGAGCATTGGATGCAGTGCCCTTGTTGTGTCCTGAGCATTGGATGCAGTGCCCTTGTTGTGTCCTGAGCATTGGATGCAGTGCCCTTGTTGTGTCCTGAGCATTGGATGCAGTGCCCTTGTTGTGTCCTGAGCATTGGATGCAGTGCCCTTGTTGTGTCCTGAGCATTGGATGCAGTGCCCTTGTTGTGTCCTGAGCATTGGATGCAGTGCCCTTGTTGTGTCCTGAGCATTGGATGCAGTGCCCTTGTTGTGTCCTGAGCATTGGATGCAGTGCCCTTGTTGTGTCCTGAGCATTGGATGCAGTGCCCTTGTTGTGTCCTGAGCATTGGATGCAGTGCCCTTGTTGTGTCCTGAGCATTGGATGCAGTGCCCTTGTTGTGTCCTGAGCATTGGATGCAGTGCCCTTGTTGTGTCCTGAGCATTGGATGCAGTGCCCTTGTTGTGTCCTGAGCATTGGATGCAGTGCCCTTGTTGTGTCCTGAGCATTGGATGCAGTGCCCTTGTTGTGTCCTGAGCATTGGATGCAGTGCCCTTGTTGTGTCCTGAGCATTGGATGCAGTGCCCTTGTTGTGTCCTGAGCATTGGATGCAGTGCCCTTGTTGTGTCCTGAGCATTGGATGCAGTGCCCTTGTTGTGTCCTGAGCATTGGATGCAGTGCCCTTGTTGTGTCCTGAGCATTGGATGCAGTGCCCTTGTTGTGTCCTGAGCATTGGATGCAGTGCCCTTGTTGTGTCCTGAGCATTGGATGCAGTGCCCTTGTTGTGTCCTGAGCATTGGATGCAGTGCCCTTGTTGTGTCCTGAGCATTGGATGCAGTGCCCTTGTTGTGTCCTGAGCATTGGATGCAGTGCCCTTGTTGTGTCCTGAGCATTGGATGCAGTGCCCTTGTTGTGTCCTGAGCATTGGATGCAGTGCCCTTGTTGTGTCCTGAGCATTGGATGCAGTGCCCTTGTTGTGTCCTGAGCATTGGATGCAGTGCCCTTGTTGTGTCCTGAGCATTGGATGCAGTGCCCTTGTTGTGTCCTGAGCATTGGATGCAGTGCCCTTGTTGTGTCCTGAGCATTGGATGCAGTGCCCTTGTTGTGTCCTGAGCATTGGATGCAGTGCCCTTGTTGTGTCCTGAGCATTGGATGCAGTGCCCTTGTTGTGTCCTGAGCATTGGATGCAGTGCCCTTGTTGTGTCCTGAGCATTGGATGCAGTGCCCTTGTTGTGTCCTGAGCAATGTACCACCGCTAAGGATTTAATGCAGTGCCTTTGTTGTGTCCTGAGCATTGAATGCAGTGCCCTTGTTGTCTCCTGAGCAATGTGCCACCGCTAAGCATTGAATGCAATGCCCTTGTTGTGTCCTGAGCATTGAATGCAGTGCCCTTGTTGTGTCCTGAGCATTGAATGCAGTGCCCTTGTTGTCTCCTGAGCAATGTACCACCACTAAGCATTGAATGCAGTGCCCTTGTTGTGTCCTGAGCATTGAATGCAGTGCCCTTGTTGTCTCCTGAGCAATGTACCACCACTAAGCATTGAATGCAGTGCCCTTGTTGTGTCCTGAGCAATGTACCACCGCTAAGCATTGAATGCAGTGCCTTTGTTGTGTCCTGAGCATTGAATGCAGTGCCCTTGTTGTCTCCTGAGCAATGTACCACCTCTAAGCATTGAATGCAGTCCCCCTGTTTGCCCTGAGCATTGGATGCAGTGCCCGTGTTGTGTCCTGAGCTTTGGATGCAGTGCACTTGTTGTGTCCTGAGCATTGAATGCAGTGCCCTTGTTGTGTCCTGAGCAATGTACCACCTCTAAGCATTGAATGCAGTGCCCTTGTTGTGTCCTGAACAATGGATGCAGTGCCCTTGTTGTGTCCTGAGCAATGTGCCACCGCTAAGCATTGAATGCAGTGCCTTTGTTGTGTCCTGAGCATTGAATGCAGTGCCCTTGTTGTCTCCTGAGCAATGTACCACCGCTAAGCATTGAATGCAGTGCCCTTGTTGTGTCCTGAACAATGTACCACCTCTAAGCATTGAATGCAGTCCCCCTTTTTGTCCTGAGCATTGGATGCAGTGCCCTTGTTGTGTCCTGAGCATTGGATGCAATGCCCGTGTTGTGTCCTGAGCATTGGATGCAGTGCCCTTGTTGTGTCCTGAGCATTGGATGCAGTGCCCGTGTTGTGTCCTGAGCATTGGATGCAGTGCCCTTGTTGTGTCCTGAGCATTGGATGCAGTGCCTGTGTTGTGTCCTGAGCATTGGATGCAGTGCCCGTGTTGTGTCCTGAGCATTGGATGCAGTGCCCTTGTTGTGTCGTGAGCATTGGATGCAGTGCCCTTGTTGTGTCCTGAGCAATGTACCATCACTATATCCAATATTTTCTGCACACTATATAATCCACCACTAGTGGCCTCTGCTTATGCCATGTTATAGTCTGTCCGAACGTTCTTGGTAAAGGATTTGGAAGTGGAGTGCAAGGGAGCCAGGCCAAAGGCACTGCATCAGATGCCAGTAAGTGCAGGCCCTGTATCTAGTAACTTAATTCTACTGAGACATTTCTTGTGATATCTACATATTATTACTAACCCAAAAAAATGTCTCTGTTTGCTTTGCAGCTATATATCAACTACCAGCCCCGACGGTTATGGTAAGAGGTTCTCCATTGTTCTGCACTTCCAATGAGAACTGGTAAATATTAGGCAGTGTACACTGTGTGTGCTGCCTAAAGCAACCAGTCAGCATGTCTCTTTTATTTTGTTTTCTTTCTATGACAAGTGAAACAACATTCAGTCTTTAAAAACAAAAACACAATATTATGTTCTGCCTTAAACCTGGTTGGTCCATTCACGCTAAATCGTCATTTTGATATTCAGGTAATTCCCTTAAACAGCAGTGACTGGTAGCTGAACAGTTAATAAGAAGAGAACCCCGTGGGATAAAGAGGTTGGTAGCTTCTTGTCCATAGTATAAAGAAGGATATCCCTCATCAGAGGAACTATCATACTTGAAAAGCATCAGATGCTAACAGCCATTCCTCTACATATGGGTTCTGCATTCCTGTGTAGCTTTGCTGCAAAGGAAGCAACAGCCTTCGAGCTTGAATGTAGTTCATTAGTCAGGGAATGGCAACTTGCTTTGCAGGCATCTGAGACTAAGCTTTTTAATGACATATTACATTTAAGGGATTAGAATGTGGGTATCTATAGGAATGCTGGACTCCTTTATGTTATATAAATATTGACTGCTTATAGCTTCATCAGCCATCAGGAAATGTTTGGTGGCAGAAAGAATAAAGCCTATCTTTGGGGAAAAAATACTCTTGCAGTGGGCTGGCCCCCCACTGCAAGGGTTAACTGCTCAGCGTTAATGTCTAGAGGAGCTGTGTAAAGGTGTTTTACTTACCTGATTACCTGAGCAGTTGGCACTCACCTTTCTCCCCTCCCCTGCAGCTTTTAGACTGTCCCTCAGTATACTCCCATATAATGCAGGGCTATGGACCTTTCATTGTCCATGATGACCAGTGATCAGTGGGCTTCCGAATGCTCGAGCGTAGTGAGCCAAAGGCTGTGCGTGCAGGTCTTTGAGCCTGTCGGAGCAGGGATCTGTCGTTTAAACCTAGACATAAAGAGGAAGGAAGGTAAACCTAATGCAAAGGTATTTTGTTTTCCTAAAGACAGATTTTTAGGAGCCTTGTGGAACAATAGAAGAAAGGTGAAAGATTATATTTGAAAACTTGCTTGACCTGTCTGCATATATTATAAGAGCTGTCCTGTATTAAAATAGAACTACAGTGTAATAAAATGTACAGGAAAAGCTGGGGGCATAGGTCTTATTTCAGGCAAGGTTCATTACCTATTTGATCTTCATTTATTCCTACTTTTTTCCAGTTCCGAAAGCAATCGCATTCCTTTCTGTATCTCTCTCATCGCTGAAACATCTGGCTTTCCTGTGTCACCAACATGGCAGAGACTGTCCAACTACACCCACCATCTTGCCACCATCACATTCTTGTGAGGACCTGGAAATGCCGGTTTTACTGTGGGGTTGCAAAGAGCACCGGTTCAGTTGGAATCCACGTGATTGCATCAAAGACAAGGAAGCCAACTTTGGTCTTGGAGAAAAGACACCGGATGCCACAGAAAGCTTGTCTGATGAGACAGATCCACAAGAGAAGGATTCTGAGTCAGTTTGTACGTTGGGATCACAAAGAGGAGAAGAGCACGACCAATGTGGGTCCAGGACTTACTCTCAGGGAGGTGACACGGAACCAACCAGTGTAGTGAGTTTATCTGAGAGCGACACCACTTTTGACAGAAGTGAAGAGAATATTGTTGAACCATTACTACAATATAATGGTGAGAACAGAATTGAGGAGTTGGTGGAGAGCACAGCCGATGACAGACAGCAGTTAACTACTTCAAATGAGGAAGAACCAAAGACTACTGATGAGAGCCAGCAGCAGATTCCAGAGATAGGTGTGAAAGTGTTCCAACTAGAGCAAACTACTCTGCCAGCGCCCACCATAGAGGACAGGGAAAGGACACATTCTGAAGGGCTAAAATCAGTCACTCAGGATCCTTCAGTTCTTGAAGTGGCAGATAACTGCTCAATAAACTCTTCGAAAAAGGAAACCCCAGAAACTCCTTCAGGTAACTACAATCCTAAATCGGGTCAGAAATGTTCCACTATTAATTGCTGGTCACATTAGTTACAAAAGTCATGGCATGGGGGCCAAAGGGGGCATATGTCAGACACATCATATAGAGCAGGAGAGCTGGAGCCGCTTTCTTTGACCATATCCCAAAATGTTGGCTCTCCTGGAACTTTCAGTCAAGTGAAGCCATATAAAGTTTGCCATGTAGTACATTGGTTTGGACACAGGTACTGCTCCTCCTGATAGAGTGGAGAGCTCTCATTCCTTTCCTTTTTATGTCTGGCTGTGCTGGTCTGGCAGCATTGTCTAGATTACAAGACAAGGCCTAAAACTGTGTTTATTTTCTTATTGGACATTGTAGAGGTAATTTACAAAAACTGGAGCAGCTGTGCATAGTAACCAATCAGCTTCTTTATTCAGCTTGTTCAGTTAAGCTTTGAAAAATGAAAGCTAGAAGGTGATTAGTTGCCATGCATAGCTTCTCCATTCTCAGTCATTTTCCTTCTCAGTGCTTGTGATGTCAGACAGTAGCTAAGAATGTTTTTTAGTTCAGGTGTGTGTGTGTTAGAGCATTTATGTATTATCTTGTCGCCTCCTCTTAGTTTGGAGCACCAGACGTCAGCGAACCGGTGTCCAACAGCCACAATCCTACCACAGGGCCACAGCGGATGAGCCAGAGGCAGCTTTACTTGTTGTGTGTAGACGATCCCCTCGTAGTAGCAAGCAATCCCAGAAGAAAACAGACAGCAAGGAGCAAGTGTCTTACTCCAGGGCACGGTGTAGACTGACCTACAAGGCTCCTACTCAGAAACAAGGTAAGACACAGCACACACAGTGATATCTCTTAATCAAAACTAGTGAGCTCATTCAATAAACCAAAGTACAATGCAGCAGAACTGCAGCTTTAAAAAAAAGGCGGAAGGGGGTGGGAGGGCAACATCAGGGGGTAAATAACCAATCTGAGGATGGGCTTTAAAGTTGACTGGGTGTGCTAGCTGGACTTTATTAAATAGAACAAATGTTCCATTATGACAAAGATATAGATACAAGATTAAAGCGCTGCACAAACTGTTGGCGCTATATAAATCCTGTATAATAATAATAATAAAAAGATTATATGGATATCCCAAATAGGTAAAGTATCAGGGCCACTACAGATGGCTCTTCATATGGGGGACGATCCAATAACACAAGGCTCTACATACAGTGAAACAAAAAGGGAAAGGTTGTAGAAAGTAATAAGAAATAGCCCAGCGAGAGTGTCATAAACATGATAAATAAACATTCTGCTGGGATATTGGGAACCTCTACAGAATGGGCGCAGCAGGTATGGCGACCTGGGAACGGAGTCCCCAAGAGAAACTGTCAGGTGGTTAAACTCATCAGCAGCTACCAAAAACTAAAATTCCAACCCTTTAATCTAAATTACGTTACTTGATGCAGCCAGATTCAGTAGGTTCTAATACAATGCTTTAGATGCGATCATTTCCTTCTTTCTCTGCCCGAAGGACATCGGGGAGCCTGTAGTGGGTGGAGCTGAGGATTCTTGGCCTTTACAAACATTGGTGATTTCAAGCATTGCAGATGCCTGATGCACTGGAGCAACTGTGGATAAAAAACAGAACCCCGGGCATGTAGGCTGTGTCTACTCTGTATTTTCAAGGCTTAAACAAAAACTCCGGGCAGAAATAATCTTAACCCTTGCAGTGGGGCTACCCCTGCACTGCAAGGGTTATGTGCTCATTTTATTGCTTCGTTGTTATGGGTTCTAGTATGTTGCTACTCATCTTAGCTCTTTGCAGTGGTTGATGGGACAACGCTTCTCATCCCACATTTGAGTACGCTTCCAGTGACAAATGCAGCATAGTCAGGGGACTGAATTCAATATTAAAACCAATTTCCTTAGTTTGGCCTTTTTTATTGCCCCTGTTTGCCTTCTTTCTCCAAAAATATTGTCTGCTGCGATTTTGTCTTCTGTTTGAAATTGGCTGCAGACATTTGTAACCCTAACTGCTGTATGATTTGCAATGATCAGGATGTTGAGGAAAGGGAAAATGAACAATATGTTCTTCAAATAATCTTTTTTTTCTTTCTACAGAACTCACAGGCGATATAACTCCTGAGGCCGAAACAAACGAGGAGATATGTCCTATAGAAGAGTCTATTGTAGAGGAAGTTATTGGACCAAATGTGTCAGCGGAGGACTTGGACAGGTAAGGCACATACAGAAGCAACTTTAAGGGTTTGTCCACGCAAAATGATAAGTGATAGAATATACAATCCACCATGGAAAACCGGACCCTCTATGTGGTGACTGCAACACATATGCAGACCTGGGAAATCAACTGCAGAGATCTGACCCCGGAAGTCCCCAGGAAATGTAAGATCCATTAGGACAGGAGTGCCCATTAGGTAGATCGTGATCTACCAGTAGCTCAGCTGATGTTGGTAGATCACGAAGGGTGTGAATGGCGGCCCCTTTCTTCCATTTTGGTATATTTATTTAGCTGTGCACACATGATTACCCATTAGCCCGAGTCTGCTGAGCCAAGCTCCCCGACACCTTTCTGATGGATACTTGTGGTTCAAGTGCTATGTATTACATCAAAGAATATTAGTTTACACAGCCTGTTGCACTGCACTGTTTGCAAAATACAGCAAGGTGAGCCAGGAGAGAGAGCAAGGGGAGACAGGGGAGAGAGCAAGGAGAGACAGGGGAGAGAGCAAGGAGAGACAGCCGGGGAAGAGAGAGGAGACACAGCTAGGTGAGAGAGCAAGGTGAGCCAGGAGAAGAGAGCAAGGAGAGACAGGGGAGAGAGCAAGGAGAGACAGCCGGGGAAGAGAGAGGAGACACAGCTAGGTGAGAGAGCAAGGTGAGCCAGGTGAGAGAGCAAGGAGAGACCGCCAAGAGAGCGAGCAGAGACAACCAGGAGAGAGAACAAGGAGAGACAGCCAGGAGAGCGAGGAGAGACAACCAGGAGAGAGAGAGCGAGGGAGGTTTTTGTTTTGTTGATAGATCTCATGTAGCTCGTCATTTGAAAAGTAGATCTTAACACAAAAATTGTGTGCACCCCTGCATTAGGAGATTTAAACTGTATCTAAACCCAAAAACAAAAGTTTAATATATTACAACCAACCAACTATTTGTTTCCCTTTATTTTTACCTGCTGTTCCAATAAGTAACAATCTTCCAGTTTTATGGTGGCTCCAACTCTGTGAAGGAGTAACAGAGCTACAATCGGACAGTAGCAATCGGGGGTGCTAATTTGTTTTTTTTAAATACTTGTCCAAGCACTAAAGCAGGGCCAATCTACATGTCCCTCATGACAATCTACTTGTTCTGATACAAAAAATAATTTTAACGAAAACCATATTTAGATAAGGTCTTTTATTGATCGCAACCAGGGGCGTAACTAGAAATCACAGGGCCCCATAGCAAAATTTTGTATGGGGCCCCTTTGATCTCTAGTTACACCCCTTGCAGAGCCCAATTGAGATCCCACACAGCCCACCTGAGGGAGACCCTGCAGAGCCTACCATAGACTCTCTAAGGTGGGCTCTGCAGGGTCACCCTCGGGTGGGCTGGTCACACTCCTTACATGTCCGCCTCCTCCACTGCTGGGTCCAGCCTGCTCCACCGCCGCTGCTGGCTCTCACTGACTCAGCAGCGGCTGTGGAGAGGAACGCGCCGCTGCACAGATCACTGTCAGTGGTCTGAACAGCGGCACATTTCTCTTCACAGCCGCCAGTGACAGTCAGCAGCGTGAGATGCCATAGCGACCCAGGCGGCCCGCAGGGCATCAGGAATGTCCTGGCTGGGCCCCCCTGTGCCCCAGGCCCCATAGCGGCTGCCTGGATCGCTATGGTGATTGTTACGCCATTGATAGCAACATAGAAGACAGACCTAAAAATACTTAAATACAATCAAAGAACTAGAAAACTCTATCTGCTCAACTGGTTTGTCAGCTGCTAACTGAAGCTGGGAGACTACTGACACTTGTAGTGCTCTCACACACAGGACACCAGGACAGTCATATAATCATTATGTGTCAGTCATTGGACAAAAAAGCAACCTTGGGCCAATAGTTCTATATAGTGCTGCAACTCCTCTTATATTAATATATGTGATACAAAGACCCCAAAAATATGCTGCGCTCCACCTACTAAACCTGAACCCTACAAATAAATCCAAGTGAGTAAGTAGAAAACAGTGTCTGATAATCCAACAATTATGTGAAAAATCAATCAATAATCTCAATCCGTAATATTCTTGTCCTGGTGTCCTGTGTGTGAGGGCACTACAAGGGGCAGCAGTGATTGCTGACATTTGTAGTGCCCTCACACACAGGGCACCAAGATTGTCATGTAATGGACAGGGACTGCTGACACCTATAATCATTATTTGATAGCCCTTGTGACCTATGTGTGACGGTGCTACAAATGTCAGCAGTACCTGTCCATTATATGACAGCCCTGGTGTCCTGTTTGTGAGGGCACTACAAGTGTCAGTAGTACCTGTCCATTAAACTAGTCGGACCGGGATACACACAACTACACACCGGGACTTACCAAAGCCGCTGAGACCAGAGGCAGAGGTAAGGAGGAAGGTTTGGGTGAGTCCCATTGTCCGTATCAGTGGGAGGCAAAGGGAACTTCCTCCGCAGCCGGTACTGGTCTATGGCCCCCAGGGTTCCCCTGACCACAGGAACCAGGCCAGCCTTTCCAGGTCCCTTCCTTGCTGCAGAGCCTCACATATGCAGGTGACGTGCACTGTGGAGAAGCACAGGATTAAGGAGGAAAAAAAAAACTTTAACCCTGCTGCTTTCCCAAAGCAGGGCTAAATGTAAAGAAACAAAACAAAACTCCCGGACTTCACATCCTGGGCGTCGGGCGATACAATTTGAGCATCCCTGAGCATTATCACTTTGTAGAGAGGGTGGTGTTAGGGTCATCACACATGTTACAATCTGACTGTACAATCATCTTTGGATTAACCAAAACTCTGTAATATGAGCACCTATTTAAATAATGCAATCAATCTGTATTCAGTCATGTAATCCCTTGCACTACATAATATTTGTTAGATCTAAAGGAGTTTGTACAATCAGATTGGTGTGTTTTAATGCATTAGCAGATTTAGCTGAACTTGCAAATTAAAGTAGTATTCTTTTTTTTAACCTTATTGCATTCTCTGCATTAACCTCTTGCCGTCCGCCCGTAGTAAAAAAACAGACGGACGGTACTGCAGCATCTGCGGGTTGCCGTCTCCAGACGGCAATTTTTTTCTGCTCGCGCACGCCCCCTAGCGGACACGCACGGGCAGAAAAGACCCGATCAATGCACACACCCGTTACCGGGTGTTTCACATATAGGCGATCAGCGGGTCCATAGCCTGCCGATCGCCTATATGTGCTCGTTCGTGGCACATCGTTAACTCCCCCACCCCCACGTTTACGCGCCTATAAACGTAAATACGTGTCCGGTGCCCCAGCGCACAAAAATTACAATTGCGCTACACATGTTACATATCGCCGCGAACGTCGCAGTGAGAGCAATCATTTTAGGGCCATCAATCACTGATAACACTAAACTGATGAGCGGTAACAGCTTTTAAAGCGTCGCCTAGGGCCAATTTTGGGTATTATCGTTTTTTGAGGTTTCGCGCGCGCACGCAATTTTAAGGCTTGACATATTTAGTGTCTTTTTACCCGACGTGACCCAATCTTTTATATTTTACCAAAAAATTGGGTAATAATAAATGTTTTATCATTTAATATAGGGGAAACTGTTGTTTTTTTAAATTTCTGTAATTTTTCCTTAATATAGTAAAAGAATAAAACCCCCAGTGGTGAATAAATACCACCAAAAGAAAGATCTATCTGTCCCCAAAAAAGAGTATAAAATTAATTTCAGTACAGCGCTGCATGACGGAATAAATGTCAGTTAAAGTACCGCAGCGCTGAATACTGAAAAATGGCCTGGATGGGAAGGGGGTTTAACACCGCGGATGTCAACTGGTTAAAGGAGAACTATGGGGTCAGGGCTTTTCCCCATAGTTCTCCTAAGGGTAACAGGAGGACATAAACTAGCGTGCTCCCGTCACCCAAAGCTCAGTATACCACGAGCTACAGCTCACTTTATACTGAGATGCTGCAGCCGGGACGGATCCCGACATTACTGTCTGGATCCACCCAGCTGCGTGAGTGACAGCTGGCTCTGCCTATCTAGAGGCAGAGCCAGCTGTACCCGCCCCTTCCCCTGTTTGTTCCGCCAGTTAGCGCTGGAGGATTGGACAGGGGAGGGGGGATCCCTGCAGGGAGCCGTGAGTGACAGTCACGGCTCTCTGCAGGGACAGGATCGAGAAGTGAGCGAGCGACGGTATGTGTTCGCTCGCTTCCCGATCTATTGAGCCGATGTGTGACAGTTTCATTTTCGCAGGTCGGCTAGAACTATGAGGCTGAGTGATTTCCACTCACCTCATAGTTCTCCTTTTATGGTAAAAAAACCGCCCTGCTACCTTTCCATGGACATCCTACTCCCCCCTCCCAAAAAAACAACAAACTTATAGTACCTAGAGTCCACGATCCAGATGATCTGCTCTGTATCCCCGAAGTTATGGGTTGAAGGGAGGAATCCCGAGGCCACTGATAGCAGGGCAGCAATAGGCTGCCGCACCTGCCTGTCAAATTATTGTGAGGGGGCATGGCTTATCGAACGCTGTGTGTGCTAGTGAATGCACACAGCTCAGCTCAGTTCCTGGCTGGGAGTGCACATGCACGGGTGTCTCCTTTGCAACCTGCTGTGCAAAGAAGACACCCGTAAACAGGAGCGGAGGGGGCCGCAGTATGATCTGTACTCCAGCTAACACTTTTTAAGCAGTTTTTTTTTTTCCCTTTTGAGATAAAGGTTTTACATACAGTAAATATGATAGATAGTGATAAATTGCTTCTCTTAACCCTCTAACTGACAATTTTGATGGACACCTTGACCTGTTTAACCCCTTCGTGATGGGAGACGTACACTGTACGTCCAGCCACAAAGGGACCAAATGACTCGTCACGTACACTGTACGTGACGAGTTATTTGCTGCACTAGAAGGCTGCTAACCGCTGAGAATCAGCGGTTACCTTTCAGTAATGGATGTCTAACTATCTAGAGATCCATTACTGAAAGACAACTCGCCAGCGACCTAAGAGCAGGTGGGGCCAGTGATGTAAGAGGAGACGGGGCCTGTTGATAGCAGAGGAGGCGGGGCCCGGGGACGGAACAGGAGTCGGGGCCCGGCGACCACAGAGGCGGACAGAGCTGACAGGTAAGAGATCTCAGACCCTGCAGAGCCCACTATAGAGAGCCTATGGTGGGCTCTGCAGGGTCACTCTCCGGAGGGCTCTGCAAGTGACATAACTAGCAATCACGGGGCCCCATACAACATTTTGCTATGGGGCCCTGTGATTTCTAGTTACGCCCCTGATTGTCGGGATCCGTTCCGGCTGTGGTGTCTCAGTATATACAGAGCTTTGGGTGACGGGAGGATGCTAGTTTGTGTCCTGCCGTTACCTTTAGGAGAACTATGGGGAAAAGCCCTAAACCCATAGTTCTCCTTTGAGGAAGTTGAAAAATAACAAAATTATTAGATAATGATAACCAGGTGAAAATAAATAAAGGGGGGAAAAAAGCCTTAAAAAAAAAAAAGAACTAATGCAGGCAACAGATTTAAGGATGGAAAGTTGCAATATATTAGATTTTTGTTTTAAACACACTTTAACACTCCAGCAAATGCCAAAATATAAAAAATGAGTTTTGACTGGGCTGACCCTTTAAGGACTAAACCAATCTCTGTGCTTGGCAAAAGGGATACTGAATGAGCGATAGTGAAAAAACGACTTTGCAAATAATAGTTATCTCATTATTACTCTACAGCCTGTTCTCCTAGTGGTGTCCCTTATTGCACACCGGCTGTCAGAATACAAAGGACAGAAGTGGAAGATGCGTCCATCCACCCTGTTTAGTGTAGATGGAGGAAACTTATACTGTTTTTTCTTCAGCCTCTGTGTAACCGTGTATAGCCTGCATTACAGCGTGGATGGTGGAATAACTCCACCCCCCCGCACTGGTCTATTTTATTCTGACAAGCGTATTAGTTATGTCAGCTGGGCTTGGCAGAACATCAGCCAGTGTATTGCCAGTTTAATTTAAAGCCAAAATGGTTTTCAACCTATCTGTCCCAGTAACCATCGCCATTGGGATTAAAAGTGAGGGAAAATGCAAAATTCTGAGTCGTCTCCAGAGCAGAAATAGAGGGGGATCTTCCAATTTGGGCAATACAGAGACACTTCAGAGAACTGTCTAAGAGAGGATTTCCCTCAATTTTGAGAGATTTCCTCTCACATACTGTTGTGTCTCGAAACAAGAAGTGAAGGAAAATCTTTCTAACCAGATGCAGACAGCAAAAACTGTCAGTGGGTTGCCATATGCTATTAGAAAAAACAAAGAGTAATTCGTTTGGACAACAGAGCCAGTTCTTTGTAGACATTTCCAGTCTTAAAGCTTTGTTTTTGGACTTACCTTTCACAGTTTGGATACTACAGAGGAGCAGCAGATGTTGGAAGCAGAACAGAGCCCATTAAGTGAATCAATATGGAAGGCAGACGATGGGAGTCTGCCAGTTCAGGTGCCAGAAAGAGAGCCGCCTCCAGTTGAGAGTGGAGATCAGAAGGGCAATCAGTGCAGAATCCACAAGGTGAGCCGGTAAGTAAACATTCAAAAACAGCTGTACCCATACAGGACTGACCGCCCATAGATGCTGCAGCCCATTTGTAGCCACTTTCTGTCTACATGAATTCCAGCAATGGATGCATAGCATTTCTGTGCGCGTTTCCTGATGTTGGCTTCAGTGGATCATGCCTGTGCAATTTGTGGAAATGGGCACTTGTAGTCTCCATTGCAATTCACTGTGACAGGATGATAAGTATTATTTTATTGAAAGATTTTAAAAAAACAATTCTTGAAACTTCCTTTTAAAATTACAGTCACCAGACCACTGATTTCAATGACAATTTTCCCATACGTTTATATGTACATTTAATGTATTCGATGCACATTGTTTAACTGTAAAAGCCTCCCCTGTGTAGATATCCAAAAGGCACGGCAATCTTGGATGTGATGTCAGCAGCCCCAGCAGACTCAAATAACATTGCAAAGTACTTCCGTTCGCTCCCCCCTAGCTACTACATAAAAGGTTATGTATTGGAGGTGAGGGGAAGGGCAGAGGAACTGGGGCAGCACAGACCGTAATCAGACAGATGACCAGTGAAACGTCTTCAAGAAAAATACAGAAAGTCCACTTGCCTTGACTTATTTTTGTACATTGTAGCGCCCATCACCTTCTCTGATGTGACTACTAGTGATAGCCAGGGCTGTAGACAGCCTGGCTGAATTTGTAGTGGCAACTATATGGTTAATCCCAGGTGTCTAGCCTTGTCTGTACCCCCAGGGGCGGAGTGTGACTTTGTCATATTGTGGGACAGCCAATGGTGGATACTGTAATGTATGTACTGTACAGCAGCCAATCACTGGGCTTTTCTCAGCCAGTGGTGCATGCTGGGACAGAGTACATATATTGGTGGTAGCTGCCATGTGCTCTCTCTCTCTCTCTCGCCGGGACCAGCCATGGATTAGGGCTGGGTCCTGTTCAGCCTGCCCCCCAGGTTGGGCCGAGGCCTGGGGGTGGGCATTGGTTGATGTAAGGGAAAAGGTTTCCCTGAGGCCTAAGGGATGGAACGAGGAAGAAGGAAGAGAATCAGGACAAGTTCAGGCTCTTGAAGAACCCTGGGACTGTATGGGCTTCAGAGCATGGTGGGTGTCTTTCCTGTGATTTGAGGATCTGCATCCACCTGGACTGTCTGCTACATCAGTGGTTATCTGATGTGGTCGGGTGGATCTGCATCGCTACTTTTACAAGGTCCGGTGAGTCTGGAGCTTCTGATGGTTACCCCTGGACACATAGAACCCCTATACCCTCTCTCCCCAGCAAAGATGTTCAATAAATCGTTTACTTAGCATTTTACTACTGGAGTGGACATCAGTTTATGGACACCAGAAGGGTGGTTAGTGCTATTGGGTGGGAGGCTGGAGATAAACCCCTTTGTCAGGAAGCAGGGGATGTTACCTCTACTCGGGGACCACGGGCACGGCGCAGGGCACGGGTTCCCCTTCAGCTCGGTAGAACACCTGGTGCCCGAGGTGCAGGTGCGCATGCGCGGGTCATGCGGCGTGGGCGCATGCGCAGTACGCAGGCTGCGCGCGCATCCCCGGGAGCATAGCGTTCTTGCATCATCTGGCTATCAGGTGTGAGCCTTGCTGGGGGAGGTTCCCAGTACACACCTTCATCTTCCTCGCCTGCCATTGGTTCCCGGGGAGGGAGGCCTCCTGGTTGCCTCGGTGACCAGGGGGTGGTCCTACCTCCCCTGGCTATAAAAACCTGGCCTGAGCTCTGGCTTATTGCTGAGTTATTCCACCTTATGGTGAACACCTAGCCTCCCTGCTGATCCTGCTATTGCCATTGCCCCTGTGTATCCTTCCCGATTACCGACCCTTGGACCGTCTTCCGCCTTTGAACCTTCGCTGCCTGCCTCGACCCGGATTGGACATTTGACTACCCCTCTTGGATTATCCCTAAACTTGTACCGCGTTTCTGGACTGTCAGCTGCTTATTGCCAGTGGGTTCCTCATCTCACTACTAGCTCCCTGGGACGTCTGACACCCTTGACCGACTTGATGTGGACCGGGTAAACAGCGGCTCCCTCCTGGGAGTTATCGCTACAACAGATATACCATGACCTGGATGAATGGGAACCTTCACAGACATACTTCTCACAAGGTCTATCATCACATGTGGAAGGCATACTCACAGCTGGGTCTGGACCAGTGTTTTGCCCTCAGTACCATTAGGAATCGGGTCTCTGCTCTTGCCATCTTGTTTCCGAGACTGTTAGCCTCTCATTAATACCTTTGTACAGAGTGTCTCCCATGTAGCTTCTCCTGTTCATTCCCCTGTGGCTCTGTGGGATCCTCTCTGTAATCTCACCCATTTAGTGGTGTTTTTTGTAGCAATCACCTCTGTGAGGTGAGTGTCTGATCTGGCAGCCTTATCTTGCAAATAACTTTTTTTCTTCCACAAGGATAAGGTAGTATTGGGTAGGCCCAAAACTTCCTACCCAAGGTGGTTTCTGCCTTTGACCTCAACTAGGACATCATTGTTCTGTCTAGTTCCAGTTTACCAAGAGGAAATTTCTCTCCATTGCCTGGATGTGGTTCAGGATGTCAGAGTCTATCTCTCAGCCACTGCTTCCTTCAGAAAGACTGGTTCCCTTTTTTTTTTTAATTCCGGATGGTCCTCGTAAGGGTTCACCAGGTTCTCGTTCCACTATCTGCAGGTGGCTCAAACAGACCATCATTCAAAACTAAACAATAAAGGTGATCAGCGCCAGTAAGTGTAATGTGGAAATATGAGCTACCAAGCACTAAGGATATAACTAAATATCTGTAAAATGTGAAAAAACAGTATTGTGCCGAGCCTTTTTCTCTTTCCACCTGGATTTATACTGGTACCTGTGATCTGAGGAGACCTTATCGCCTTTTTCTGTGCATGGGCTTCCCTCCCCCATTAAGAAGGGAAAAAGTGCATTTGACCTAGCTCTGTGGGTCTACCTCCCCAGGTGAGCATTCACTTGTTATCATCACTCACTGGGTGGAGGTGAAGGTCTGCCTGCATTGTGTGATTATCCTTACCTGAGAGTTATATGCACATTGGCTGCGAATCATCTGAGGAATTTTTTGCACAATCACCATTGTTTGCGTTTGTTTTTTCCTTGGGACTTTTTTTGCCTATATTGCTTTTTTGTATGTGTGTAGATATTTCTTATGCCTCATTTGTTTGAAGGCTCATATATGTGACTCATTTATATATGTTTCAATTTATTAGACCATCATTCAAGCTTATGGTCTTAAGGATGAGGTTCCACCATTTCCTGTCAAGGCACATTCTATTAGATCTGGCAGTTCTTTTTAAGGTTTTCAGCATCAGGTTATTTTTTTCCCAGATTTGTAAGGCTACCAGCTGGTCTTCTGTTCACATATCCTCTAAGTCAGGGATGGCCAAACTGCAGCCCTCCAGCTGTGGTGGAACTAGGAATCCCATGAGGCTTTGCAATGCATGACTCCCGGAGAGAGATGCTTCATGGCATTTGTTGTTTCACCACAGCTGGAGGGCCGGAGTTTGGCCATCACTGCTCTAGGTGGATGTATATGCCTCATCTGTATCCAGCTTGAAGCATAAAGTCCTTCAGGTGGCTATTTGTACTTCATGGGTCTGTTCGTTTTTTGTTTCTTTTTGCTGCATTGCCTGTCCCTCAGTTAGACTACTTTTGTCAGTTGGACTCTCTAATTGTCTTGTTGACCATGACATTTGTGATGATGACAACCTAAGAGGACATTTTTCACAATGGAGAGCTTTCTTCTCATTTACTGTTTATCTATAAGACAGGAAGTGATGGGAAATTATCCTGTCCCTTCATACTTCTTTCCCTTTGTGGCTACACTCACTTCTCCATTGTATCCATGGAGTGGGCCATTGTTGTACGTCGCCAATGAGGAGATCAGTAGTTTACAGACAGAAAATAACATTGTTTTTGCTTTTAGTTGAGCTGTTTACTCTGGACAGTCTCACGTATGTTTGCGTCTGTGGCCTACCCCAAGTACATTAATAATCATTTCTGTTTCATGCTGTCTACAGGCTAAAACCTGGTTTGGATGAAGAACTGGCTCAGATATGTAAAAAAAGGATCAGGCAAGTGATCAGTATTGCATTTACCCATTTATAATTACTGCTGAGTAAATACAAAACAAAAGATTGAGTTCCTGTATGTAGTGCTTCAAGAATCATGGAAACATTGTTCATTTTAACTTGTGTAAGTAGTAATTCGCCAACTAAAAACTGAAATCAGGCTTACGGTAATTAGTTGCAGCTCCGCAAATTGCTGGGCAGGAAATATGTAGGTGGGCTTACAAGCTGGAGAGTGCAGGCTGGCGTCACTAATAGGTTACTGTTCACTAATATTCTAAAATGCAAACATATTGTGGGGCCATGGCACAGAGTCTGGGGAAGTGGGGTGGGGGTAGGGTGCTGCTGTTGTTGCAAAATTTACCGGAGTTCTGCTTTAGGGCAGGATTTCCCAGACCAGATCTGGAACGCAGTGCATTGCGTTTTCCGCGTTTTTACAGCATTTTTACCGTGATTTTGCTGCGTTCTGGAGCTGCGTTTTTCGGCCGTTATTTAAAATGGGCTTTTAGGTGCGTTCCAATGTGTTTCTATGCGTTTGTGATGTGTTTCAATGCATTCCAGTGCATTTCAGACCAGACAAAATGAGACATGAAGTATTTTTCTGGTCTGCTCTGGAATAAACTGCACAGCGGCCAGAAATAGCATAGGGATACATTTAGAGCTGCAACAATTAATCGACTAAGTCGATTATAATCGATGATGGAAAATGTTGTCAACGTTTTCCATCATTGATTAGTTGAATTTCGATTAGTTTGCCTGCTAGCCCGCCCATCCACAAGCGGCACAAATAAGAAGGAAGAACAGGTATGGGGGGAAGGCAGCTGCCAGACAGGCCCACAATCTGCTCATGTAAGCCTGCACTACTCCCCCACATGGTGCTGTATTAATGTATTGCTGGAATTAGTAGTCCTCTATAGCTGATGCTACATTGTGCTGTATAATCTGTAGCACAATGTAGCATCAGCTATAGAGGAATACAAATCCCAGCACTACATTATATACTGTATGTATAATGTACTATTGCTGGGATTAGTAGTCTTCTACAGCTGGTGGTATTCTCCATTGCACTGTACAGGTGAAACTCGAATAATTAGAATATCGTGCAAAGTTCATTTATTTCACTAATGCAACTTAAAAGGTGAAACTAATATATGAGATAGACTCATTACATGCAAAGCAAGATAATTCAAGCCGTGATTTGTCATCATTGTGATGATTATGGCTTACAGCTCATGAAAACCCCAAGAACCCCAAATCCACAACCTCAAAAAAGTAGATTATTACATGCAATCAATAAAACAAGGATTGTACATAGAACAATATCGGACCTCTGAAAAGTACAAGCATGCATATGTACTCAGTACTTGGTTTGGGCCCCTTTTGCAGCACTTACTGCAATTACTTTTGCACGATATTCTAATTATTCGAGTTTCACCTGTATAATGTATTATTGCTGGGATTTGTAGTCCTCTATAGCTGGTGGTATTCTGCATTGCGCCGTATAATAATTATACAGCACACTGCAGAATACCACCAGCTTTAGAGGACTACAAATCCCAGCAATAATAAATTATACAGTGCAATGCAGAATAACACCAGCTACAGAGGACTATAAATCTTAGCTACTGCGATTTGTTGTATTCCTCTATAGCTGCTGGTATTCTGCATTGCGACGCTGTATAATGTACTATATTGAACACCACACTTTTTTTTTACTTCCATCGCTCCAAGCTTGCTCCCGTGATGGACTACAATCTCAATACAAACTAGTTGTCCTTCACTGGAACCTTTTTTTGTTTGTTTTTTAATCCGATTAATCAAACTTAATAATCGGATAACTAATCGATTTTGAAAATAATCGTTAGATACATTAGGATGCATTTTGGGTCCAGAAACAATCTGGTCTGGTCTGGAGATGACATGGATGTGGTGTGAATGGGCCCTTAGGCTCAATTGGGTGAACTTTATCTTTTTAGCACTTGCCGCGTTAATGGGATAACCTTATTAGCGCACTAAATGTTTGCACACGATGCCTGGAACTGCTGTTTAACCCTTTTGCTGCCAGAACCATTTTTGCACATGCTAAAATGTACAGTGTAGGCCTGAAAATTGATTAAAGCCATCCAAAGGTAAATATTTTCTAAAAGCAGAAACTCTCTAAAATAAAATGTTGCCATTTTTTATGTCACAAAATATTGGCCCGGCAGTGTATCAGACCCAGATAATCTGTAACAATGCACTCAAATTAATTTTAGGGCATATAAACACAATATAATACCCAATTCTGTAATCAAATATAAAAGATGAGGTTGTGTCGTGTAAATAAATACCAAACATGTCAAGCTTCAAAATTGTGGTGAAAATTGTACTGGAAAAAAGTTCAGTACATTTAAATTGTCCATAGGTGACACTTTAAAAGCCTTCACACAGACTTAGAGGAAGAAGGCTGCTATAGCAAAGCTCCCTGCTTGCGCAATGGATGTAGTAAATAAGGCTGCCCATACACCTTGCCATCATCGGACGACACTTTTCATCCCATGATCGATTTTCGTACGGCGGCCCCATCCTGCCCTGATTATTGCAAGGTTGGATCAGCGTTAATTAAAAGAAAGCACCTGGACGAATTGCGGTAATCGACCGCACGTATTTTCGTCTGTTCATGTGCAGTGTAAATAGTACGAATTTTGACGTACAGACCAACCTTGCGAAAATCGTACGATCGACCAAAGTTTTCTAACCTGCTGGTTAGTCAAAAGTCGATCGATTGTACAGTATTTGCAGGTTGTACACTGCCCATCAACCTTACGAATATCGGACGAAAACCCGATCCCATGCTAAAATTCACCCAATATTCGTAAGGTGTGTGGGCAGGTTAAGGAATAAATCCCTGGCTGTTGTTTTTCTTATTGATACATAGAGACCCTTTTTAAAGATTAATATGGAACAATTATATTACATAGTTACATAGTATTTGAGGTTGAATAAAGACATTAGTCAATCAAGTCCAACCTATTAGGATATATCATGCTCAGCTTCTGTATGTCACAGTACATGTCGGCATTCATGGTTCCCTCAATGAACTGTAGCTCCCCAGTGCCGGCAGCACTCATGCAGCCCCAGACCATGACACTCCCACCACCATTCTTGATTGTAGGCAAGACACACTTGTCTTTGTACACCTCACCTGGTTGCCACCACACACGCTTGACACCATCTGAACCAAATAAGTTTATCTTGGTCTCATCAGACCACAGGACATGGTTCCAGTAATCCATGTCCTCAGTCTGCTTGTCTTCAGCAAACTGTTTGCGGGCTTTCTTGTGCATCATCTTTCCTTCTGGGACGACAGCTTCCTTCTGGGACGACAGCCATGCAGACCAATTTGATGCAGTGTGCGGCGTATGGTCTAGGCACTGACAGGCTTACCCCCCACCCCTTCAACCTCTGCAGCAATGCTGGCAGCACTCATATGTCTATTTCCCAAAGACAACCTCTGAATATGACGCTGAGCACATGCACTCAACTTCTTTGGTTGACCATGGCGAGGCATATATATATATATAATTGTGAGTCACTGGAACAGGAATAAGATGCCTATCCTGGTGACAGCTGTTTAAAATGGTATCTCCCTGATCTAGGCTTACCTACTTTGTGTGATAAACAAATAGGCACAAGTGGTAAACATACAAATATTAATTTGAAATGAGAAAAACCGCTGTAGCTTCCTTTCAGGGGTCATCTCTCTCCCACCTTATGAGTATGTAACAGACGGTTTTTATTTTTGCAGGAAGGCCACACCACCAGAGTTGCTGATGTGTGAATATGAGAACTGCGGGAAGATCTTTTCTAAGAGGCAATATCTGAATGTGAGTATAATTGCGCACGGTCGCTGCCTGTAAAACCCAATGTGGGCGAATTTGGCTAAGATCAAGTGTAATAACCGTTCTTATCAGTGTTCAGGAGGGGAAATGTGCTGCTGTTCTTGCCCTATGGTAGGAATGGCTGGCTGTAGAATACTCTGCCTGAGCGGATGGGGGTCCCAAAGGGTCATGGTCATGGGAAGGAAACCAAATGAAGCGTTCACTTATCTAAGAGTGGGGGTCAGGAGTACTTCCTTAGTGTCTGGGATGTGGCAGGGCCCAATGCTTCCGGATTTAAATGGATCTACCTTGGACACAACACCACTAGCTTTTTCTGCACTACACCTCAGGCTAGGCCTTTTAGCTAAGATCAGGGAATCATTTTTTTTACCGGGCCCCAAGGTTAGTGTTTGTCTTGCACATTGGCACATATTTATTTTTCTTCACTTGTCTGTGCACCTCAATAATTTTTTCACTTCACAGAATGGAGGCCCAAGGGCCCACACTGAAGTCTAGGGGGAGTATGTGTGGCCATTAGGTTCCTTCCTCCCTTGAACCGGGGTTTCTCTTTTTGGGAGAACCCTCAACAGAGTAAGTGGTGGTCGGCTTCGGCTGACCACGAGGAATGGGTCTGTCTGACTTCGGCAAGGTGGACATGAGTGCCTTGCCCCTGTCAGGATCCTTGCGCCCTAGGGGGTCAGGGAAGGGCCCTATCTCTTCGGCCGATGGACCGCTTGACACACCCTAGTGCACTTATTTTGTGTGTGTTTCAATTAAAAAAAAAAATATCTGTGTATTTAGCTGTTTTTTCCTGGAGTTCAGCTTTTTTTTTTTTTTTTTTTTTTTTTTTTTTTTACAAAAATTTTTTTTTTTTAAAAATTTTCACA